TATACAACAAAATTTTAGTGTACAAGACAATAATCAAACCAATATGGACTTACGGCATCGAACTCTGGGGAACTGCCAGCAAGTCAAACCTGGAGATCCTGAGAAGATTCGAAACAAAAAGCACTGATAACTGAAAGCGATAATGATGGCTGTCTTTCGTTTGTGTTAATATAAACTGATACTTTTATGTATTTGTAGAATATTGCAATAATATTATATATAAACTTTCCAAAAATGTAAAAAAAGATTCACAATTTCCCCATTTTGCTTAAAGTAACATAACTCGGGCTCCACTTTTCCCCGTGTGTTTCCCTGCATAACCCCCCAAATATTCCTTGCACATTTTTCGCATGTTGCCCAGTATGTTTCCAGCAAGTAGCACCAGGAGAGGTGGCTCAGGGTGTGATGCGACTGATGTCACTGCAGTGCCTCTGACCGGGAGGTCCTGGGATTCGAGTCCTAACGGTGGCAGGATTTTCGACACTAGCCAAATAGCTAGGTCTCGCTGTCTGAAGGAGAATTTTAGAGGCCGGCTACTCTGATCGGTAGTTTTCCGTAGTTTCTCCGATCAATGCCAGGCGAATGCCGGAGCAGAACCCTACCGAACGGACAACGGACCGCACGCAATCTTTCCTTTCCATTCCTTGTCCTATCCTACCCGTTGCACATACTTACTCTTACATGCCACGCGTGCCGGGAGGCCGGTCGGAAGCTTAGAGCCTGTACCGGCTGGAGCGGTGGGATAAACCTAGATTGACAAAAACTTCGCTAACAGACGGTAGGTCGGAGCCGGATCTCGCCATCCAGCGAAGTAAGATCACTGCCGCCTCCCGAGCAAAAAACAAGCTCTACTTCTATGGGACTAATGACTCTAGCAGTTGACGTGCCCGAAACCACTAGTAATCAATCAAACGTGTAAGTATACATTTTTTCCCCCGCAAGTCTATCACACGTTCCCCCGAATTCTCTCAGCTAGTTTCCCGCAGGTTTCCCTACATGTAATCTCAACCCATCCGTTTCCCAAATGTACCTTCAAATGCTCCTCGAAGTTGCACTAGAAGCAGCTCCATATACCCAGTCAACTTCGGTGAGGACCAACCACCGTTTGCTTTACACCGGCCTCTCCCTCCGACTTAACCACAGGCGAATAGCAACTAAGCACGCTTTCAGATGAACATTCGAACTGAGACGCAAGTCACATCCTGGCCAGAAGTATACAATGCCTTAGCGATCACGGCTAAATCGACATCTGGCATTTAGGAACAAAACTTGCAAATATGTTTCGTTCAGTATGCCTACGTCGATGGAAGAAATAAAATTCGCAAATTAAAGTACAAAGTATAACGTAACAAAGGAAAAGGTCTGAGATTCCCATTTAGGGACCATGGCAGTTCATGGGTTAAGTTATTTATAGTACGAAATACTTTTATAAACGTTTCAGCGGCGAATAGGGCAGTAGCTGCCTTGCCGGATAAAACAGCAATTTCTGAAGAACTACAAAAATGATAATGAAAAAAGAGCAGAAAAATTAATAAAAGGCATAAATATTTTTCGCAGACATTTTCACTCTAATAAACAGCACTTTTAAAATAATTGTTTTAAAACTAAAATAGATTCATACTGGAACACATCTGCTAATAATTCTGGCAGATCGTGTTACAAGGGGAAGGAACCTTTCAAAAAGGTAATAGAACTTCCAACAAATTTATTATTTCGCAACAAAAACGTAACGCGCGCGTTTTTTCAGGGACCCGTTTGCATGTGTAAACCTCTTTTGAAGGAGCCTAGGACGCATCGTTTCTGAGTTATGAACGATGGTATTTACGAAACGAATATCGTAATACATATTATTACAATACGAGATTAGAGAATTTACCAAGCGAGATAGTTTTTCCAAGTTTGGTAACCAATCAAGTAACGGTGTAACGGCCTCGTTTGATAATTCTCTAATCTGGTATTGTAATAAGATATTACAATACGAGTATCGTACTTTTATCCAGCTTGCAAAAAGTCAAATGTCTAAATATTTTCATTTAAATACTGACTAATCGCTCTGGGAGAAATGTGACCAACTCATGTTGTTAGTAGTTAGTGAGAGGTTTGAACATTAAAAGAATGACGATAGGAATTGCGTCGTGTAGTTGCATTGGGGTATCTTCTTTCATGAGAAACTTTTACTTCGTGAGTGACTCAGATATTACGAGAAATAATCATGGAAAATGAAATTAAATAAACAGCGAATTATGCTCTTAAGTGATTGAATTGATTGCCTGAAAAGTCAAAAAATGCTTCCAAATGTTGGTGTTTTTATTTGAAAATTGGTGTTTAGATAGAAAAGATGACCGTATTTATGAAAGAGTCATGATGGCATATTTTACTTTTAAAGGCGGAAAAAAGAAGCTCATTTCATTGACGTCTTACTACTCCACGCTACACAGCACAATTTAGGTCAATCAAAATGTTAATATACGTATAGGAAAATTTTCGATGAGAAAGGGTGGCTATGTGCCCAAGATATCAAGAATTTTTTCAAAACAAAATATTTATAGAGTATTTACTTAAGGTAAGTGACAACTGTGTTTCAATCTTTGAGGAATAAACTACAAATGCATAAATCAATCCGAACAATTGTGCAAATGTAATTAATATGTATAATAAATAAATGTTCTTCTGGATATTGCCTTTTGTTAATAGTACGCCAAGGATGATTAGAACACTAGTGTTTTAATAGCTCCTATAATGATACTGTTCTCAGTTTCGTAATGTTTGACATTAAAACACCAAAGTGGATAAAATTAATTGAAGCCAACGAGCTAGAATATACTACATAGAGTGACTGAAGCGCCTCCATCTTTGAAGAAATTTAAGCCGTGTTTTTGCAGTCAAAACAGTGCCTTATAAGCAATTATTCAACATAATACTTTTGTGCTATTTCAATTTTATGAAATATATATGAAAGTCTGTAGTAGAAATCAGCATTAAGAAAAAACTTACTTAAAAAATATATATATTTGTGGTTTTATTACCTCTATTTTAACAGTTGCATGACGAAGATACTGAAAGCATTGGGAATATTCTCACCACTAATATAATTTAAATACAGTTAACCGAAAAAGACAACAATATAAAAATATAATCTGATACAAACAACACTCCGATTCAGTATAACAACAGTTTTATATGGCACCACTAGCCATCACTCGTATGTTTTGACTTCAAAAAACATGATGGCCCCTAGTTCTACAGCCAATCTATGTAGTATATTCTAGCTCGTTGATTGAAGCGTATATTGCGGGTTGCATGTGCACTGTATTTTCTCACCATACCTTTTTAATTTATTTATTTATTTATTTATTATTAACGTCAAAAACAATTAAAAACTGTGTGTGACTTGCTGTGAGGGGAAGTTAATTGGAAGTTACATTTATGTCCAAAAGCAAAACAACGGGCCATCTCAGCATTTGCTCAAGAATCAGGCAAGCTGGTTGAAAACTGAAAACCTGATCGAGATGGGGGTCATTGACCCAGAAGCTGAAGTTCAGTACTTGTTACAGGTTCTTTAGAATTATAAAACCCAAATGGTAAATAATACACTAAATGTCGTTGATAAAATAAATATTACTTTCCTTTTGGATGTTCGGTATAATCTCTAATTGTATAGAAACAGTTGCGCAGCAGAAAAATTAACTTAAACTTTACTTAACTATACTGGGGCTAAACTGAGTACACAGTTGTTTATTTGAAATGGAAAACTGCATTAAAACCGTTTTCTTTTCGTTTACCATTAATTTGTTAATACGAAACTAATTTGAAATATCTGATATTGTACTATTTACGGTTTCTTTATTGCAAAGAATATTCGTATCATCCGCAAAGAGAACTGTTCTTCAGTTTCTAATCGTCAAGGGCATATCGTTTACGTTTAAATGGAAGAGAATAGGGCCTACAATCGATCCCTATGGGACTTCACATGCAATTTGCAAAGAATCGGAAAGGTGTGTAAATAATGTAAATTATTCCAGTAAGGTATTTCTGCTCTCTGAGATCGTTGTTTAAGGTACGAATATAACCAATCTAGCGCAACACCGCGAAGCATAGGAAGGTAATTTTGAAAGTAAAATGTTGTGATCAATGACATCAAGAGCTTTTGAATGATCTAAAAATATTCCCTTAGGTGCTTCGGTTTGATCCATGAATGAGGCGACATATTTAAGAAAAAAAAAATTCTGTTTCGTATATTTAAATTTTCGAAACTCTTGTTGGTTATCTGAAAACGCGTCGTGTTTCTTAAGAAGAGATTCCATTCGTGCGAAAAATGTCTCTCTAATATTTTTGAAAAAAAACGACAAAAGAGAAATTGGTTGATAATTTTGAATTTCATTTTTGTTGCCTTTTTTGAAAAGCGGCTTAATCTTAGCTGTTTAAAAAATATCTGGAAAAATTCCTGTGCATAAGGATACGTTAAATATGTGAGATAACGGGTGTATAATGACGGGAACACAACGCTTTAACAAACAATTCGGAAATTCATCTAAACCGGCCGAATATTTATTTTTTAATCTACTGATTATTTTGAGAATTTCACCGGAAAAAGTTTCGGAAACGAAAATCTTAATACTCAAACTTCGATGTTTTTCACTTTGAAAGTCCTTAATGCAAGACCGAGCTGTAATTCCCGACCCAGTGGTAATACATTTGCCGGGATTTGTTCCGATGGTTTTGTATAAACTGTCATAAATCGTCATCTTTCCTTAGTGTATTATGTGAGGATGAGGAGAGGATATACTTGAGGTTTTGCGTTGTCGTTCCCGATGTTCTCGTGGCATTGAGTTGATTCCTTCGCGTGAGAAACGAAAAGTGATAAGAGTTCTTCCGAGATGTCAAACATGTGCGTTGTTTTGAATTTCGCTCCAGTTCTTTCAGAATTTCTACCAATGACACGACATGCTGAAGATCAGTTCATAGATTCGGTCTCAAGAAGGTTGACTCACGAATCATGATGAAACCATCGATTATATTGAAGCAGCGAGCGAGGTAAAATCGAGGCTATTTGGATTGAGTGGCACTGGTGGGAGTGGGGCGAGATTGGAGTGGGGTGTATGCGGGTGTATGTTGGTTCGGGTGTGCGATCGTAACCATGTGGCAGGCGTAGGTTGTGTAATTTTTCACAGATAGTTGATTCTCACGCTCTTTTTCTTGTTCATCATGAAGTTATACACGAATCAAAACAACCCTGCTGCCTTGAAGGTGTTAATTGCAGGAAATACAAGTGGTAAAAATGTAACCCATGAAATCGTGGCAGTGAGTGGTACGTGGCCTTACATGCTGAAGAAATTTATATATATTTTTGGAATGTTGACAATGAAATAGTTGAATTTATTAGGGTACGTTGTTCTAGTAAATTTTACGTCTATTACAGACGCGCAACATCACTGTCCGCGACGGCTACCAGTGCTGCTGTTGGACTCAGGGAAAAAGATTTTTTCTACTAATGCAAGTACTCGGTACCTTCTACCTCCTAGCCAGGGTAGTGAAATTCCAGTTGACCAGTGGCTTGAATGGGAAGCATGTCAGTTTTTGGTCAGTATAATTTTTGCTCTACACATGTAAATCTTGTCTAAGTACATGTCCAAATCTTAAATATTGTTTTGATTTAGCCTGTGTTAGCTGCGTGTCTGAGCTCAGGTCCTAAATTAGATGGGGACCTGCGTAATAGATTTATTGAATTACTTCAAACTCTGGATGTAGCCCTTTTGAATAAGGAGTATATTGTTGGGGTAAGTTCTTTTCTTGAAATATGTTACAAATTATTCATTTCATATAACATGAATGAAAAATTTGGTGTTGTCGTATATTTAAAAAATTATATAGAAATGTGCTCTTTGGGTACATGTAAGTAAATAGAAACTCTTTCAAATATCTACATTTTTTTACGTAATTAAATTTCTTCAATGTGAACGTTTTTCTTTTTCAGAATTCTATTTCTGCAGCAGATATAGTACTGTTTTGTAGCCTGTATCCACTTGTTGCCGACCCTAGACTACGGCAGTATTGGCTAGCAGATAGGCAGAATATTGTGTCATGGTTTCTTCATCTACAAGCACTTCCTACTGTGAAGACAGCTCTTGAAGCTCTGAAAGTCCAACCAGGAGGAGAAGCATATCAGGCTCTAATAGCAGGCTGCTGGCAGCCCATGCCTGAAGTTTCTCTTCTCACTCCTGCAGATAAACAAAGGCCTCAACTACAGAGCACAGGGAGCCTTGATGTAAGTGTTTGTTTATTAACCAAGAGTGGCTGGATGGCCAATTTGTGGGTTTTTGATTTGAAAAGGAGTTTCAGTGTAAAGGGTAGGTGTAGGTCTGTGACAAAAATTATATGTAAAAGGTTACCATTTTTCTCTGTTATCTACCCACATTTTTGTGTGTTAAAGAAGAGAATGCGGTAAAACTTAAGGAAGTTGTTTAATCCAGGGCTTCCAGGCCACTGAGGCAAAAACAAAATCAATGGTGAAGGGTATGAAGTGAAGTTAGGTTTTGAGGGTTGCTTTCAAAGTTGTGTCGTTTTGACTGTGTATGTTGTGTAGAGTTAGGAAATTTTCAATAGTGTGAAGTTTAGTGAAATGCAACAAAATAGTAAGATGAATGTAATTGGATTTCCAGAGTTATATGGTGAGTGCTTTCCAGAAATGGTAAAAAACGCAAGTCATTTATGAGGAAACTTTTCATACTAAAATGATATAAAATGCATTGATTGTTATGCATTGCACAAAATCGAGAATGTGTAATATTAATCACGAAGATCTGAACCTCATCCTCAACTTAGAAATGCATAGATTCATATCATCTTGTATGTAAATGTAATTTAGCATGTTTGCTAAGTGAATACTGTGTGTTGTTGATGTTCTATTTGTGCAGTACAGAACCAGGAGCTACTTTATTGAGATACCTCTAAGAGCAAAGTGCAGAATACCTAAGTTTTGATTAATTTCCATGCGAGATGATTTTTGTCATTTAACGCTAGTGTCGCTCACAATCACTGTTCTTTAGGGAGTATCGGATTTTGAACTTCAACCATTTCATTCACTAATTTCTTATCTGTAGAAAGATAGAAGAACTTGCTTGTTGAAATTTTTTACCTATAATGACACTTTCAGTTCAGTTCTTTAATCAGGAGCCAAGTTATTGCAATTTATATATTGAGCAATTTCTGATTTTGAAAACCCTACCAATACTGCAACTTCCAAGATTTCTTATATTAATCTTTATGTATTTCTAATAACATTGTGTTTACTTATTAAGTAAATAAAGGTCATTTCATAAGAAAATTAACACGTAAGGAAAATAAATGTAAATTTGGATATAGTATACAATTTGATGGTGTTCTGTCAGTTTCAGTGACGGACAAATTTGGATATAGTATGCAGTGATGCAAGTTTTGTCTTATTCGGCCTGTTTTGGAAGTTCATTAGAAATAATACTGATTCCTGACATTTTATTATGATTTATTTCTGCCTGCATTGGCTCAGACTACTAAATGATAGTCAATGCCGGTAAAGCTACAGAGCTTTGTGATAAGAAAAGATGAGACTACCTCTGGTTTGTGGAATTACTTCAAGGGTGCTTTGACTTCTGTAGATAATCCTTCCATAATTTATTGCTTGTAATTGTACTTCCATCTTTGAGGTCAGATCCTGGGGTGTTTTCTGAGGCCTTGTGAATGATAGGTAGAGAGCTATGTTCATTTTAGTGGAATGGAAGCAGAAATCGGTGAAAGGACCAAAATAATACTGTGATGGGAAATTGAGAACGGAACTTATTTCATGTAATGTGCTAAAAGTTTTAACACAGAAATTGGTGAACATTTTTCTTCCATCTATTTTATAATTAAATCTATGTGATATTAAATTTGCTCTTTTCTGCAAAAGTTACAAACTGTTAGAGTATAATGTTTGATCTCTTGGGTACAATTGATGCGAATTGGTACATAAGTCAGAAACTTGATTAACAACCACTGGTTATAAATGATGAATTTTGGAATTAGTTTTGAATGAGACAAATGTATTTTGAATCTTCTTGAAGTGTAATCCTAGAACTTGAAAAGTAGGAATGTAAATCATGAGTCATTACAAAAAATAACGAACAACTGAAACTTGCTGAACAGCTAAATCAGTATATGAAAGGATGTAAAGGAGTCTTTTGCTGTATTTTTTTAAAATCTTTGCAAACAATTTTACTCTTCTGTCATATTTGCTAAAGTTTGAGGAATTATTGTTGGAATAGATCTCTTCTTCCTAGTGCCTCTTTTATCAAACATTTTATTTGTAATTGTCAGTTATTGGTTAAGAGACTTCACTGTTTGCGTTGTGAAGTATATTTGCATAATTTAATCTATTTCCTCAAATTATATTCATGGAAGCATTTTTTCTCACATTATTGTTAATCTTTTTCTTTTGCCATGCTTACATTAATGCATTTGGTAAGTATTAGATCCCTTTTTACCTTGCTAGGATGATGCTAAAAAATTTATTATATAGAAACTGTTATCCGTCTTAATAGAATATGAGCAGATGTATATTTCGATTTAAACATAGAATCTGTTGACGGAAATCAGCTGTTATTGTGTCATTCAATCAGGAGCTTGGATAACACCTGCAGTAGTGATGTTTAAGCTTCTGATTGGATAACACTATATCAGCTTATGATCTGTCGAAGGACACTGTAAATAAATCAAAGTATAATTAATGAAAAGAGATAAATTCAACGTTTCTGTTTATAGATTTTAGCATTAGAACTATTGTTGTTTTTTTTAGTATGAAGTTTAAATATATGTTCACATGTTTCAATATAATTAATAAGAAAGTAGATGCAAATAAGAACATTGGATTATGTGATGGTATGCAATATATTAGATAGTTAGCAATATATAACAATTAGTATATTGGATATCTTGAGCCAGAAAATCTTTCAATGTCAATTTAAGTCCATAAGGTAACTATTCTTAAATTAACTGTTATATCTAATGGTGCTCACTAGGTTCATTTCTGATCTTTATTCTAAGATTTAGATTATAAATATACACTACATCATCATTGGTGACGCATGGCATTTTGTGTGTCCATTGCTAGATTTGCTCTATATCCAGGTCTATCTCTGTGAAGCAATGGGAGGGGGACTTACAATATCATAGTGTATTCATTTTTTAAATGCTCAAAATTAAAATAATTTTTCTATATTTTTACATTTCTTTAAAAATCTCCTCGACTCCTTAAGATAATCTTGAAATGCTTTAAAAAATAAGACAGCAAAATTGAAATTCATTCAATCTATTGAATGAGAAATGTAATAATTATTTTAAATTTATTTTGTATGAGATATCATTGAATAATCACTAAATAGCTCATCATTGAAGATGGCTGTCCTGTTATTTTGTCATATTTTTGATGGACTATTGAAGAAATCCTCTTTTCTCCTATGAATTCCAAGAGTTCTTTCTCAATTAATACAAGGCATAAGCTGCACATTCGCTATTCTCCTTGTGATTATCTTTTATATTTATTCACTCTTTTTAAAGCAAAAAAAATTCCATTCTATATATGCTGTTGGAGCTGGCATTGTGCACAACAATTTAGCCAAATGAAAAGTTTTTTAAATGAGCCGTCAACATTTTTTTCTTTAAAAAATTTTACTAATTTTAATGGAGATTTGTCTTTATGGGGTGGTGAGCTCTCAATTTGTTGCACTAATTTGGTGAATCCTTTGCATGCTTCTCCTTGTTTATTGGCTTTTTCTCATGTTTTTTATACTATTAGTGTTAAAATATATGTAGATTTTTCCTAATATTCAATTTTTCTCAAAAATATTGAAAATACATTATTTTTATAGTTTTGTTTGGTCATCAGTACATCTATTGATGACCAAATGCCTCACCACTGTACAACAAAATCATTATGAAGGGAGTGGCACAGAAAAATGCCAAAGTGTATTGTCCACTCTACTAGATATAATACAGATTTTTTGAGACGTTCTTGCTAATGAACCTTTGTAAAGATTTTCCTGTGACCAACCTGCCCCTTTCTATAACATCATTAAATCAATCGATGACTGATAGTTATATAAATGCAATTACTTGTTAATCACTTAACTGGTATTCACGTGCGTGTGTGTGTGTGTGTGGCAGTTTATTATGGCAGTTTTGCACTTTTAATTTTGTAGCTCATAATATTCTGCTGAGAAATATTTTTGATACTAATTTTTTTTTTTTTTTTTGCAGTCTTCCATTGCACCAAAGGAGGCACCCATTTCGGAAGCAGAATTAGAATCTGCGAGAGAGGCATGGGTTACTGGAACATCAAGTAGGCCGCGACCTAAATTAATTAAAAAGCCTATGTATGTTTATTATGAAATATATTGATTGAATACATTTCTATGATTTTCATTTTCTGATAAAAAATTTTTTTCTCTGCATTTAGAATGCCTGTTGCTGGTGAAAAAAATATTCTCATTACGTCAGCTCTGCCTTATGTAAACAACGTACCTCACTTGGGAAACATAATTGGGTGTGTTTTGTCTGCAGATGTGTTTGCAAGGTGAGCAAGTAAATTTTCTTTCCAGTGTAATTTTCATATTTGTTTCCTAATTTCCTTACTTCTATTTTAATGTGCATTTCTTACTAGCTTCGTAGAAAAGGAACATTTTGGCCAGTTTACACAGCGTTTCAATAATGTTTTAGAAAGATTCTTCACCTAATAAATTCTCTTGCATTTTCAGGTGCTTTGAGAGTGCTCATTAATTGCTAAACCTATTAAATGTTCTTTTTTAATTTATTTGCAATTTTGTAGTATAAAATAAGAAACTCCAATTTTTGCAGTATTTTTCATATTGTACACAATTATGTAGTAAAGAGAAAGTAATGTAATGCTACAGTGCAAAATTGTGATTTTTCTTCATACATACTCTTATTGCAGACATTTGATATTGAAAAAGTGGAGAAATCTTGTTTCAGAACGTAAGAAATTACTTTCCCTATCATGTTTTGTACAGAAAATTCATGATCCTGAGGGTCTTGATAGTGAAAAATCAATGAATGGCAAAAGTTAGTCGGGAGGATGAGCCTAACAATTTGGAGTATTTTCTTCCAAATTGATTTTGAAAATAATGATCAATCTAGACGAACATGAGGCCCTGCTAGGTTGAAATTAGTTTTCGCGTAATTTTGCCTCGAAACACTGTTTTCTCAAAAATTGTTTTTTTAACAACCAAAGTACGATTTTTAAAAACCTATTTAATTAATAATTCCCTTCTAAGTAAACTAAAATTAAATTAAATATGTTTTATAATTGATATAATTTATTTAATTTTAATAATTTTTATAATTGAGGTAATGGTTTATGTTTATATATAATGTTATGTATATTGTTATGTTTAATGGTTATATTGAGGTAATGGTTTATGTAGATTCTTATCTTCTGTTGTTGTTTTTTGGAAGTAAATGTATTGATAATTCTCATTTATTAGTTCATCTGATAAATTTGTTTTTTGGGTTCCAGATAATTACTATTGCTTATTGTAACTTTTTGAAAATGGTAATTTCTGTTGATACAGATACTGTCGACTCTGTAACCATAATACACTGTACATATGTGGAACAGATGAGTATGGTACAGCAACAGAAACTAAAGCTTTGGAAGAAGGTCTAACGCCTCAACAGATTTGTGATAAATATTTTCTCATTCATGATGCAGTTTATAAATGGTTTAACATTTCATTTGACTATTTTGGACGCACCACAACTCCTGAACAAACAAGGTAAATGTTAGGTTGTTGACTTGGAGGAAAAAACAAGATAGCGATATAGGGTAATTTCAGTATATATTATTAAAGGTGTTTGTTTCCCTTGGACTTTTCTTTCTCTCTCTCTTTTTTTTTTTTGCTTTAAATATATTATGAATTTTGTTTAATAGAATTTTGTAACACCTTCATCATATTTTTAGTATATTAGAAATAAATTAGCATTTTTAATCAAATTCAGTTGGATCTGCAACCTAGATTTACTAAGAAGCTGTGTAACTTTAAAATGTTTGAAGATGTTAAGAAATAAGATTTTAGAGGAATTATTTCATTTCTATTCCATTAAATACACAAATATTTTCCAACTGTGATACTTTTGTGTTCATTTGTGTAGGGTATGCCAAGAAATGTTTCTAGAGGTACACGGCAATGGTTTTACCAGTACGCAACATATGGACCAACTTCTATGTCAAAAGTGCAATAGATACCTAGCTGATAGATTTGTGGAGGGAACTTGTCCACTGTGTGGGTATGAGGATGCTCGAGGAGATCAATGTGATGGTTGTGGACATCTAATTAATGCAGTGGAACTGCTATCACCACGGTGCAAAATTTGTCGGACAACACCAATCATTCAGAAATCTGAACAATTTTTTCTTGATCTTCCTAAAGTAAGTGTTATATCCCCTCCTATATTATTTCAGGAGTATTGACTAGTTTTGTGGCTCTCACATGCAACTAATCTGTATAAATGAGGTCTCTAAAAGAATTTCACAAAGACGTCACAAACATTACACTGTCAAAAATATAAAGGATTTGTTGAAAAAACTGTATCAGAATATGCATGTCAAATACAACCTGCAACACTCAGGCAGTGTTGTTGAAATCTATATAGTTATACAACTCCACAACGAAGTGTTCTAGGTTCTTAAAACCTGTAATTTTGAGGTCAAAGGCCTCAAAGAAACTTTCTTCACCCCATAATCTACAGGATGAGGTCTTCTTGGACATTGTATTAAATATCTGCTTGTTTGGCACTTCTCATTACTTTATTACAATGCAATTGCAATTTCAAATATTCTAAAGAATAGAGTTGTACTTTTCCGATCATGTATTTTTTATAGACAACTTTACGTAGCTTTCTCAACAGTAAAAAGTTGTTCGAATATTTTTGTAACTATTAAGGAAAGCCAAAAGCAAATTTTAATGATGTGTTTATGAAAGTGTTGAATTCTTCCAGCAACATTGTGTACAATACTGAATAAATTTTATCAAAATTTTGTCATTTGTCAATTGCATTGTTTTTTAATTTCTTTTTGATAAGTACATTGGAAGTTACCTTTTTTTAATCAAATAAACATATTTTATTAATAACTTTCCCTCCTTAATATGGAAATTGAAGGATAGGGAGGAGGGTGGGGTTTACCATGCAAGAGTTCTGATGGGTAAGGTTGTAAGATAAGTAATCAAATTATCGTAAGTAATGCAGGAAGTGTTTCAGAATTTCTAACGTACTAGTGCTGTTTAGTGTAACTTTTCATGAATGCAAACATTAGTAATATATTGTTGTTAAAGCAATATTTCTTACTATTTGATATTTCTTAAATCTTATCTAAAATTGGGCTGATGATAGTAGCAACATCAACACTTAACACTAATAATAATGTAATGCAGCATGAAGCACTGTAGGGTATAGCTGTTAACTCCCTTTTAATCCTCTGGGCATTATAAAATTTTACTATGTTAAACAATGGACAACTGTATTCCATCAAAATTAGCATGAATAATCATGTGACTTGTTACTCACTAAACTAGACTTATGATTATGTTATATGGAATTTGATCCTAAGTATGGCAGTTGCCAATTCTGTTTTCCCATGATGTAACCTGGTGGCAATACTCTGCATTAAGATATATAATATAATCCTTATGTAATAATATAATTATATATTCACTTCAGTGTTTGGTGGGTAGCTCAAATTAAACTAAAATGAATCGAAGAGAATGTGTTCAAAAACTAATTTTCACTTCACATACTACTTTCACATAGTCACATTGGTTGTTACCACTGTCAAATTTGATTTTTAGGTGGAGCCGCTAATCAGACATTGGATAGACAAAGTGTGGGCTGGATGGTCCAACAATGCCAGAGTCATTGCTCGCTCATGGCTAAAGGATGGCTTGAAACCACGCTGTATCACACGTGACTTGAAATGGGGCATTCCAGTTCCTCTGAAGGGATATGAAAATAAGGTAAATAATTTTTAAGAGTTATATTGCATGAAATATAAAGAATGTTAATGCTTTGATGCAAATTTTGTGCCTTTGTTAGCTGTGAATTTTTCTTGTGTTGATAATGGCTGATTTTTAAAACTTACTAACAGGTATTTTATGTATGGTTTGATGCTCCTATTGGTTATGTGAGCATAACTGCAGAATATTCAAAGGAATGGAAACGCTGGTGGCAGCCTAAAAGTGATACTCAAGTAACCTTGTACCAGTTTATTGGCAAAGACAATGTACCATTCCACTCAATAATGTTTCCTGCTACATTGTTGGCATGCAACAAAGGTTATACTATTGTCTCATATATAATGGCCACAGGTAATGAATTTATATGGAAAATGTAGGGAAATGTGTATGTATTGATATGTATGTAATGTGCTCTTACTTCTTATTTTGGTATTGCATTTTAGAATATCTAAATTATGAAGATGGAAAGTTTTCAAAGAGCCGTGGTGTTGGTGTGTTTGGCACTGATGCTCAAAATACTGGCATTCCTGCTGACATTTGGCGCTTTTATCTGTTGTATGTTAGGCCTGAATCTCAAGATTCCAGTTTCAGCTGGGTAGATCTTGCCACAAAAAATAATAGTGAACTTTTAAACAATCTTGGTAATTTCATAAACAGGTGGGTCTTCCATATCAAATGGTCTTGATACTTTTTCAATATTCATACAATAGATCAATGGGTTGGAGGTGGGTAAGGCATGCTAATACAATTTTCAGATAGTAATAATTTAATATTTGATGGAAACATAAAACAATGAAATGCCAGGAAAGTCAGTTGATAGTTATCCTGCCTCCAGAAAAGAAAATCTATGATACTGAATAGGATGAAGATTGCTTGGAGAGCATCATAGTATCGATAAATTAACAACTCAAAATTGTGATTTTTGATGGTGTTTTCATTCAATTGGTTCTTTGACTTTTGAATTCTTTACCCTGTTGGTGTCCACTATATTAATTTTAACTTTTCATCTTCACTTTGTAAGAAGAGGAGGTATTTTATGTGTGAACTGCAAAACAATGAATTTTCAAGAGAATTGCCAGGCCCTGGTAACAAAAACGTTGTGTGGTCAGAATCCATGTTTTGTGGCTTCCAAGAATGTTTAGACAATTTTCTCCAAAATTGATTGTCCTTGATTGATTTAGAGGAGCTCGAGGGCCTCTTGGGTTTGAAATGTATATTTTGATTTTTGAGGGTACTTCTCTTCATGAAGACTCAAAATCATTGAAACAATTTTCTCAAAAGTAGTTCCAAATTTTTGGATTAAACTCCATCCTTGCATAGCATAAAGAATGCTTAAATGGTTAGTGCAGGTCTAAATTTTGTTAAAACCCATTATTTTGTGAAAATTGCAAAAGTTCAATATATTTTTTGAAAAGTGCAGTTAAAAAGTTAAGTGTCAATGTCATTCCGGCAAACACTTGTATTTTCGAATATTGCAAAAAGTTGACTTTTCAAAACTGCAATATTGAAGATTTAGATTTTTGCCTTCAACAAAATTTGTCCTAAAAAATAAGCTTTTTAAAAATGATCACGTAAAATTATTTTTTGGAAAAATTAGATGTTTTTACATTATTTGTGATTGAAATTAATGGAGTTTGTAAAAACACACATTTTTTCAAAAAACATTAAATTTTTTCCACAGCTAAGAGGGATGCTTAAAATATGGTGCGAATTTAATTTTCACTGAATGATGTGAATTTTCTAAAATTGCAAATTTTGTAAAAATGCGAGAAAGTATGTGCTGGTTTTGCACCACTGGTTTGGGAAACAATCCTCTTCTGATGCAAGTGAAATGTTTATTTCTTTTAAAGAAGATTGCAAAGTGTTAGTGTTTGTCGGTCTTCCTTCAGAAATCTTTTCATGCCATTTGTGGAGTCCTTTAAGTTTTGAATGCAGTGGCACCATAGTCAGAGAATGGTTAAATTTCTGCAAAAATTAACATGTTTTTACCATTATACCTCTTCCTTACCAGAAATAAAAGATAGATGGAGGTGAACTTTCCTGTATTCCCCCAGTTCAGATTGAGGGTGGCGATGGGTAGGGAAGATCACACAATTGCCTTTTGTACAGGGTGCTACATGGCGTTTGCCTGCAAGTGACACCACTGGTTAAAGCAATTGGGCCTAGGAATTATATTCCAGTAGATGACTTGGTGTCATTTAACACATTTAACAAACTTGTTGACATTTAGCAAATTAGGCAAATTTCCAGCACCTGACCAGGATTTAATCGGTGAACCTTTAGCCATTAATCTGTTCAAATGCAAGGCATTGCCATCATGCTAACCTCTATCAATGCTGTAAAGATGATTAATTAACCTGATTCAATTTGATATGTTTTATTGCAAATATTATGCCTTTAACATGTATTAGTCCTTTTTTTCTCATTCATATAAATAAATGTGTCATTTTCTTTTTTGCAGAGCATTGACGTTTGCTGAAAAGTTCTTTGGTGGTATTCTTCAAGAAATCATTCTTGGGCCTGCTGAATTGGCACTGCTTGCACAAGTGAACCGAGAAGTTCGAGCTTATTCAGCTGCATTGGAGCGTGCACGATTGAGAGATGGTATTCGTCACATTCTCAGTGTGAGCCGCCATGGAAACCAGTTCATGCAAGCCCAACAGCCGTGGGTGCTCATGAAAGGCACTGACCAAGAAAGGTGTTTCTATTATATTTTCCACTGAAGTAGCTGTGCACGTGTGCGTGTAGGGGTGTGCAAGGGTGTGTCAGCATGTGATGTGTGTGTGTGGGGGGGAGAGGGGTGTATGTCCCCTTAATCCAAGAAATATCTTCAGTTTGAAACCTTCAGTTAAAAAAGATGTATGTGTGTATATATACATGTATACACATGTAGGTGGGTGTGGGTGGCCCTACTAGATAGGAAAAGGAAAGAATTCTAATTTTAGTGTAAAATGTAAGTAATTTTTATTCACATTCTTGCCAAACCACCCTGCAGAGATTGCGGAAAAAAAATCATCAAATCTTCAGTTGTCCTATTTGAACATTGTGTAATGTCTTATTGGTTACTTTTTTGCATGTCTAGACAACAGGCAGGTTCAATTGTATCTTTGTGCTGCAACCTAGCATGTACATTGGCTGTATTGCTCCACCCATATATGCCCAGCACATCCCAAGAGATCTGTGAACAGCTGAATGCACCGAAAGATGTAATGGCTCTGTCACCAGAAGTTGTACAGCTCTTACCAACTGGTCATCACATTGGGAAAGTAAGTTTGACTTTTGTACACATTTAAATTTCCAAAAACATGGTTTCAAGATTGAGATATGAAAGTACAGAAGCAAATGCTTGTGTATTCTTGTAATCTGATAATTAGTTGATGATTATAATAATAATTATTTCCATTAAAATTAATAATCAAATGGTACTCATATTTTGATTGATTATATTGCAGCCTAAGCCATTATTCGCCAAAATTGAGACTGCTCAAATAGATAAATTGAAGCAGCAATTTTCAGGGAGACAGAAGTCTGTTTCTCCAGAAAAATCAACTCCTAGTACTCAGTCTGCTTATCTAGAAGCGGCCATCCATAAACAGGTAATGCATTGTTGCAGTGAGTATTGACTCCAAATTTAAGATTTGCAATAGAGATAATGCAGTGTGTTGAAGTGTAGTTTAACTCTAGATGTTCAACCTTAGGATTGTATCCTGAAATTTTAGTTATGGAAGGTGTCCATAAGTGATAATGCTCTGGAAGAAAATGGAAGACTGCTAAATATGCCATAATACCAACCATTCGTGGTAATCTGTCTTTTTTATTTGTCATCATGCTCATTCTCATATCAACTCGGTTTTGTCCAAAGGGTAATGGACTTGGTGTGCTTAAAATCCAAGAAGTTTCCTTCAGTTTGAAACCTTCAGTTAAAAAAGATGTAATGAATTATGAGTGAATGAGAGGCAGAATCTGAGATTTAATGGAGAAAATACTCCGTACACATCAAAATACATTGTTTAAAAAGTAGGGAGACAGTAGAAACGGCTTTGAGATTTATCTGATCCAAACTATTTCTTTTTTTATACTTTTCATGCTTAGAATATTTGAATATTTGTTGTGCATGCTATAAACTTTCTGAATATGAGAAACCATGCTGTTTATAATCCCCTTTTTTGTGCTAGTACAGAAAAACTCATTTATTAACACTCGTTTATCAAGCAGACATGTTTTTCATGTTAACATTCATGAGTTGTTGTTTATAGGTCCCAGCTGAGTTCCTATTCTTCCCCCTTTAAATTATTTCAGATATTTGTTTTAAGTTTACAGTGAAACTAATTTTTTTTCAAATCCTGGATCAATTCCTATAATTCCCATGCTAAATTATTTCAGTTATGCATTTTTCACACTTATACGTTCATAATAAAAGTCTTTTAAGACCGTGTAACATTTAAATGATAGAAGTCAAGGCGTGAGCAACCTGTGCTCAGAGCCCAGAACTTGAATACGTATTACTCAGAGCACTCCCACAGAGTGACCTGTCACTTAGCCTCTGAAGCGACTTCCTACTAATGGAACTTGGAATTTAGAAGCTCGTCTCGGCTAGGCCAATGCCACACGAGTCTGTGGGGTTGTAGCCCTATGTTGGCTCCTGGACCACCTCTGGCAGCGGAACCTCAAAAAATTGAAGTGGGTGCACACGGGAGCTCTTTGAAGATCTCAGGAGGCGATGGCTAGCTCCTTGGGAAGGTGAAAGGTGTCCTTGGGAGCAACGTAAATGGCCAATAAGTGGAGTATGTGCACCAACTGTCCCACTCTGCGAAGACCCTTTTGCTCACCGTAATAACATAAGGGATCTTTTGGTAGTGGCATGGCACAAGCAGCTAATGAAACTGATCACTTTTCCACATGGCGCGGCGGCTGTTGCTAGACTGTGGCAGTCATGAGCTTATTGTTGCCCACGTAGAACACCAAGCTTTGACCCGTGGAATCTCAAGTAATGTCAAGCTTGCAACTGAAGCAATCTGCCAAGGGTCACCGCTACCAGTTGTTGTCCATGCAGGACACTGCCTTCATTTCCCCAGCGAAACTAAGTCGCATGCCATCAGTAAGGTACCCATTGCGTGTCCACTACCTCTACCATGGTGGAGTCTTCTTCAATGATGACCTTCGTCCGGTGATATTTTTTCCAAGCTAGCCAGCGTTGTAAGTTGTGGCTCTGAGGCTCTGTGTTTAAATCAAACTATAGTTTGTCTTCTATGTTTTTGTGTTCGCAATAATATTAAACGAAAAAGAGTGGTAGGAAAAGGCAACCCCTTTCAATATGATGTAAAATAAAAAATGTAAAACTTGTTAGGGAGAGTGGCAATAAAAAGTAGATATAGCTAAAGAACTGGGAAAACTGGTAAAATGATAGTGTAAAATATTGAGTTTTTGATGAAAAGGTTTTACTGTATTACTATCATACTGTTTTACTATCATACCTCCATTATGAAAGTCCTGACATGTATCGACATACATGACCAGTAAGTTTGAACGATTATGTCATCCTGGAGGTGCCCAAGGAATCTGTTTGGTACAGGCTTCAGGTAGTTTAGTTTTGTTGGTAGGCCTGTCAGCCTTCCATTGGAATCTGTTAGGAACTGTGGAGACTGAACAAAACCACAGGGTGCAAGGATAATGATGTTAGTGAACCTAAGGCATTGCATATTGATTGCATGTCACAAGGTGTCGCTTTGGGAAATGCATACATGCTGCCTGGTATGGCTTAGCAAAATGTTTGTGAGTTGCCCTTTATGGTTTTGCAAAAAGTTTGTCAACATTCTACAGTAAACATCTGGCCTATTTGTCTGAAATAAATGGGTATCAAGTAATGTGGGCAGTTGCTACATTTTGAGGATGAAATGCGTACTTTAGGTGCAGAGAAAACCAAATGGTCTTACATTAGAATCTTTTCAAAAGTGAGAACCTTTTATCTTGAACATGTTAGGTATTGAGAATATTATATGCATGTTATTTTCTATCACAAGAGCATTGTCAAAATTCTGAGTTTTTATTTTGCATCTAGATTTTTATTTTCAATCCTGGGTTTTTCTCACAGATTTTTTCCCCTTCATTCCACTGAAAGATGTATAAATGAAATTTTACTGTATGTGAATGTTAAAACACTTCTAGTTGGATTCAGGAGTGTCCTTATGTACAATGACAAATAAAAAAACTTATTTTCCAACTGCTCCTTCCTTTCAAAATTTGTTCTTTTCTGAATTGTAGGATGTTCAGATCCGCCAGCTGAAGGCCACAGGGGCTGATCAGAGTGAGTGGTTGCCTCTTGAAGCTACCCTGCAGGAGCTGAAACGCCAGCTTGCTGCTACCCAAAGGCCTGCTGCCAATGGCCCGAGAGTGGGCAATGGACCTGCGGCTACAGCTGCTTCTCCTGGAAATCCAGAAGAGATTGCTCGCCTCGAAGCTGCTGTGGCCCAGCAGGTAAACCATGATCGTTTTTGTAAATTCCCTTTTTTACTACTCACCTTTAGGCCATTAAACATTTACAAATTGGGGTCAAGATAAATGCACTTCCTTGGCAGGCCAATGCCAACAGCATTTTAAGAGAAGATGAATCATTATGGCCTCTACTCATGATTATATAATGTTTTCTTTGTTATCTGAAAAGGACATTCAAATATTATTGTATTTTATTTTAGAAAATTTTCAAGCCAATAACCATTTAATACAGACTTCTGCAAATGAATAAGCCTGTTACTTACAGTCTGTGTTTGACATAGACTTGTACACAGTGGGAGAAAAAATGCAATATATGATCAAAAATTTAAAAAAGTCTACTTGCAGCTTTGGAGAAATATATTATCGATGGGTTTTTGAAAGTTGAATAGAAATGTGAAACTTCCAATCTCTGACAGCCAGTACATTAAAATTTTGAAAATGTACTTACATGATCTAGACATTCAGACGTAGAGCACAAGTGTTCATTACATGCTATGCCGAGTATATTATAAGTAAACTGGTGGTGCAGCAGAATGGCACAGAATTTCTCGTACTAGGTAATTTTCAAACATCTTTGGGCTGGGCTTTGGCACCATCTTCTTGCCAGCTTCCATCTATTGGCTCCCAAAGTGCTTTTTTTATATCAGTTTTTTGATTTTCTAATGGCAGAACTGAAATATTACTTAAAGAATATTAAAGAAGAGTAAACGTTCGTTCTACATGGACATTTATGTTGAAAACTGGAGCTGATTTTAAGAAAATGACATTCCAGTAAATGTAAAATTTGAAACTCTTTTTCACAGAAATCTTTAGAGTTTTTGAAAAACTTGATTGGAAGTTATTTGAAGCACTTCCAGTCACAAATGCAGTAATGCATAAAAATCGCTGGAGATGTGTATAGTGTATAGTAAAGGCATGAGAGATATTTAACATATTCAATTCTGAGGGATACGCCACCTGGTTAACTCTTGGCAAAAAGCTGCTTTTAGATGTATATTGCAATTAATATTGAAAGATTACTCCCGTTTTAATGCTTTTCGCAATAGTATTATTAATATACAAGATGCTTTCATACTCTTGCTTTAATTATTCACAATAGAGTGAATCCTGAAATTCTACCTTCAAGATTAACCTGAATTTCTGTTCATTTAAGGTACTGATGGCAAAATTCACAAATACAAAATGTTATAGTATTTAATGCATAGCCTCCTTTCAAATACAATAAGGAATGAGTAGATTTGTAGCAAAACCTTTTGCTGCTTTTGGACAGTATTCTAGGCTGTTCAATTCTGTGAAAAGCAGGAATGCTGCCATGCTCCTGCATGAATATTTTGGAGTGGCATGATGTAGTGGTTGATTAATGGAACAAAACACATTGTTTCTTTTGCAACATCTTTAGAATTCTAATTTCATATATTTGTGCCCATTTATCTACTTTCCAGTTGCATTTAGTGATGTGTAACTAGATATGGATGTTTAGGAGCACACGTCTTAAGAGAGCATTTCAATATTATGTTGCACCTTTTGTAATATTGTTGCTTGGATATTGTTTAAAAATATTTGTAATTTCACAAGCAGTTTAATTCATACAATCTTAGTTTTTTTGAGGTTTGCATTTTCCTTTTTGTTTATCATTATTCGATCAAGATATGTATATATTTGCTTAATAGGAAGCATACAAATTTGAACTTCAGAAAGTCCTTTTAAAGTGCAGTTTGCAGCTGCGAACAGCACTAAGAGGTTCATGATGCTTTTGCAGAATTGCAGAAAATAGCAAGTCTCAAAAACTGGGAATTTTAGATGAAAACAGTTTGATGTGCCAATAAAAAAACCTATATTTAAAAATTAAATTCAGATAATGCAAAACTCCTCCCCCCCCCCCCCCCATGAAATTTAGAGAGTATGGGTATCTTAACATCAGATGTCATTTTGTAACTTTATGAAATTTTTATTTTCTTTCAGGGTGAAAAAGTCCGGCAATTGAAGGGTAGTGGAGCAGAAAGATCTGTTTGGCAGCCACAAGTTGCCATTCTCCAGCAGTTGAAAGAGCAACTGGTTGCAGCAGGGGGATCTGTGGCTCCTCCCCCAAAACCGAAAGGGAAAAAGAAATGAAACCAGTATTGATTGAGGATAGTATTTTCTCAGGTGAGGAAAGTACCGTATTAACCCAAATATAGGACGAGTTTTTACCTAAATCTGTGGGAAAATGCAGGGTCTTATATTTGTGGATTAAGTTTGATTGGTTAGGGCCTAAGTTTTTATATTGCCATTCCATGTCATGAAACTCATAAATGTGTGCATGACAATAAGCTCTGAAGACTGTAAAAATATCACGCATATCTGTAATGCATAATTATATTGCATGCACAGTTGTATTCTTGGCATCCACCACACATTTGCTAGGCATGCAGGACAATGTTTTTGAATAGGCCGGTAAAGAGAATCTCAAACACATGGCATTGTATTAAATGAAAATGAACATCTCTACGTTGAATTATAAACTTGATGTTTATTACAGTCTTCCTCATATATGTGGATAGTTCTAACAAAGTTTTTAAATTTACTTTTTCAGATCCAAAACAGGCATTTCAGATCCAAGAAGAAAACTCCCTTATCCAGTTTTTTTGCAATATAGTTTTCAAAAGACCATCACTGCAGACAAGGGTATTTTTTCTGCTTTTCTTGTCTCATTTGAATGCAGAATTAAAGATGAATATTTATGATGGATGTGTGATCTATGTAGGTGATTGTCCATGCTATTTATATAGTGTCAGAATTAATTTATTGCAAATAAAAATTTTTTACCAACAATTTGTAAGCAGTGTTATTGATATGCATGCAGGCATTGAAACCTTCAAACACATATGCTTTGAGGATTTATCTTTTGTACAGCAAGATGTCCTGTGTCCAGCTGCAATATATCTTTGAGATATAGCATTGGTGGTTTCTCAGGGAGGGAAGGGAGGAATGTCTTCCTCTGACATTTACTACTTTTGAATGTAATAGCAAAATACAATATTTATTCTTCGATGTAAGAGGGGAAAATGTATTTTTTTAGATTATAGTTCTCAGAAATTAGCTACACAGCTTGAGTTCTTACTGCTGTAGAATGCCATCTTATTACATATTACTATTAAACATATTAGCAATGGTTTACAAGTTATTAAATTTAGAATTAGATAAATATTTTGAAATTGAATAGAAATTAAACACATTTATCTTATGGCCTTCCCAGGTTTTCCAATTTCATTGTGAATATTTCTAAGTATATAGGGAAAAGTGATTTATTAACTCTGGCACTGAACCCCCCATATCAAGGCACTGGATTTTTCAACAAATAAAACTTCATGTACAAAAAAAACAAACAACTTTATTGAGCAATAGTACAAGAAAGCAAACAAGTTAATAAAATATTTGAAAAATCCTTTCTGAAACAGAAAACATTTCAAGTGATACATTCATGCACCTTACATGCATCCAAGAATCATGCATTCCATATTTTAGAATTTTCCAATATGTAAATAATTATTCACATTTTAATTCTTTAAATTCAACTTTCTCTATACAGTTCAGATCACTCCCATGTACTAACAAATTACCAGTCTTTTTATTGCATATGTCTTTTATCGGGAAAAAATTCCAGTAAGAGTGCAATAAATGTAGTAAAACTGTCTCAAAAATATTACACATAAAATCATCTCATTAGTCATTTCCCATGTCAATATTTTAAACTTTCCCAGTTTTAAGAAAAAAAGCTTTCCATTTTAAGAATTTTTAAAATGCATGCAAATGCACATGTATTGGAAATACAGTGAAGTTCCCTGAGATAAAGGCTAAGGAAGTCATTGTTCAAGGGTGGAAGATAGTGGAGGCCCCGACATGGGCTACAGAAAACTATGAAATAAAATTTATTTACAGGCTCAAAGGGCTATTTTGTCTTATGAAAAGAAATAAATTAAATTGGCTTTTTAACACTTCAGCACAGGATTAATTACTTTTGCCAGTCGGTGCCTTCAGAATCAAACAACAGAGCATAACAGCACAGAGGAAAGAGGCTCTTTGACCAAACAACCCAGTGCCTAAGCATGTTAAGCATCTCCATGCATCTTAGCAAGGGTCAGCAATATTGCAATACGTGTTTTATAATTACACAATAACTTAATAGTTCAAAAACTTCTTTATAACTAGCTACAATTACATCCTCTTTAATTTAACTGAATTCATAAATTTAAGAAGATTAATGAATCTATACTTCATTTTACTGTGAGTCCAGAGACTATAAGGAAAGTGAAAATAATTTTCCTTGAAATAAGAATGTCTGTACATCAACAATGTTCAAACTGCAATAACAGATTGTCTGTTAATACCACAAATTGAGTCAATGATAATATGAATTTTAGGAATGTAGTAAAGTTTCATTTGTTGCCATATCCAAAACTGATTTCAGCAAGTGAAAAACTGGTTTAACAAACCAGTGTTGTCAATAGGATCTCTTCCATGCTGAAACTTCTGGCATGAAAACATAATTAGGCTACAGTATATCATTTTAACAGTAGAATTATGAGATTTAAAATACAAATACTATTTATTGTGCAAAAACTCGGGTTTTGTTTGGTCCCATACGTTTTTCATGTACAAGTCCCAAAGGTGCAATTAAATAATTTTTCCTCATTGAGCAACAATGCAAAACCTTTACTTGGATTTTCAGTGTCCATAATTGCTCAAGCTACTTTGCATTTAGACAGTCTACTTCAAGCAAAATGTTACAAATTAAAAAAATGTGTCATAATTAAAACTTATAAATAGTAATATAGTTGTTGAAAGTGTAGATGAGGAAAACTAGAAATATGTTTAAAAACACCAACTAGTTTTGTCTATTCCAGTAAAAATAACAATTATGAAAGTTGTCTCAATTGAAACAATCGTAAAAGATTGAATGGCACATATTGTTTTAATATAATTTTGAATCCTCATGAATTTTGGATACATGGCTACAGACTACGAGTATTTTTATTTACTTTTCTTAGCTATTCACCATTACATAGCTAAATAATAAAATTGTGATGAATACCAACGAAAAAGTAAATAAAACCACTTGCCAGTTTCATCCATTTCATAGGATGAGTAAAACTACATCTGAAAATAAACACAATAAGAACCTTTGGAAGAAAAAAGAACTGTCATTCTTCTTACTTTACTATGCTTAAAATTTTATCTCCTTTACAGCATTCCTCTTCAAGCTCATAAATTAGCTTAGCAAAACCTACACAAAAATATTTGGTGCTTTTAATCACCTTTTAAAAACATTTGTGACTCCCGCCTGACAAAAAAAACAACGGCCATTGTAATGGGAGTAAGTTGGGCGATATGGTCTGTAAGTTGCTGACCCTTACGGGAACACCCACAGGTTTACACATCGCCTTTGGCCATGCAGTTCAGAGAGCGGCCCAGCGCGCGTGTGCGATGGAGAGCACGGCTGACCTTGTTTCTAAGGGGCTGAACAGCATGGACTACTTGGGTCTGGGTCTCAACTGATGTTCTGCTCTCCCTCAAGTCTCTTGGTGACTTCTCAAATGATGAAAGCCTGTCCCTTATTCTTATTTCTTCTGCCAGATCTGTTCAACAGGTTTATGAAATGTTATTATCTTCATTCCTTACAAACTGTACACCTAATTTTATTCATACATTATTTCAAAATTAGAAAAACCAAAGAAGAACAAGAAAAACAATAAACCATGGTAAGAACACCTTCTTCTGTTTTATTTAATATAACTGCAAACTTAAAATGGTACAAAATAACTCCTCAATTTCCATTTTGAGCTGCTTTAAAGGAAATAACATTCAGTATTTGAATTGCTAAACAAAAATTGAACTACTATTCAAAAAAGGCAACTCTCACAACCTAATGAATTTACAAATCAAAATCCTTACTACCAGGACTTTCAAAAATTCTACACAACCTTTTCAATAATAAGATTCAAAAAACTTATCAACTTAATAAACATAGCATTTCTGAATCCGTTGGGCCTCTAAGTCTACAGACACAGCTATCTTCTAGCTAAAGTGAAACATACTTGTCACACTAGATCAGAAAGATATTCCCATAATTTGTTTCTAGATTTATCAAAACCATAAAACATTATTGATCATCACATACTGTAATAAAAACTTGAAACTAGAGGTATTGCACTTCAATGAGATAAATAGTATTTTTCAAATCGTCACGTAGTCACAATCAAGTATGTGAAAGATAAAAAGATTTCAACCTATTTTTCTCAACCTAGAATGATAAATTATGGAGTACCACAAGGACCAATACTAGGTGCTGTTCTATTTTTTTAAACTTCAATGACATACCCCTGACACAACAAAATAGTCCTATTTACAGATGACACAAACATTATTATTAAAGCAAGTATCCAAAAAAACTACAAAAAGAAGCACAAACGGCTCTAGAGGCACTAGAAAATGGTTCCAAGAACAAACTCATAAGCAAGTAAAACTGTCTCCCTAAACTTCAGGAATCTACTCTCAAGAGAAAAGGCACCATCACAATTGATCATAAAAAAATGCCTGTAAAAATAGCCCAAAAATCAAACTTAATCTGTCCAGGTCCAGCCATCAAACTCATTTTAGAACTTATAATTAGACGCTTCCGGGTTTGTAGGCTGTAGTCTGGTCCATATGTTTCGCCTGCAATATGAACCAGGCTCTGTTAGACCATGGCCTACACTATAGTATGTTCGTTTGAGAATTTTTTTTTTCTTCTTTTTTAAAATTTTTAGTCTCTTTACATTCCCTTTATTTTATGCATTGTATTGTATTATATTATTTTCCAATACAAATCACATTCAATTTTCTGTACAGTATTTAGTACCAAATTTGTATTTCTATATTGCATTTAGTTTTTTGAAATATCCGTATTTTACATTGTAATATTATGTACATATATTGACTTGTCATATAAAGTTTATGATGTATTTATGAGACAAAGATTTTATTACAATAATTTTTTTAAATGTTTTGCGAATCCGCCATTATAGGGCCACAGGATATGTGCTGATTCCATTTTCATATACCCCAGGGTTGTTAGTCTTGGGGGATGGGATGAAATTACAATGATGAAGAACGATGAAATAGACACAATACAACCATGCCTGAAGCAGGACTCAAACTTGTGATCTTCAGGTCCAAGACTATTATGGCACTACTCCCTTAGCGATCTTGGCGATCTTGGCCATCTAATGGGCAATTATTATTACTATTACTACTATTATTATTATTACTATTATATTATTATTATTGTACTTGTCTTCAAATATCCTCTGTGGTTTCATTTCAGACCTTTGTTTTCTTCCTGCAGTTGCTGCAATAAAGACAAAAGCTCTTCCTTTTCTCCTTCTCGCAGAACATCCCTCTCCATTGCTTCATCTAGATGCTGTTGAGCAGTCATTTTATGATCACTGGCAGCCCTAGTTACAAGTGGAAAATATCAAATAATTCAATATTAGGTATTTAAATATTCTCACATGAAACAAAATTGTTTTTAGATACAGCACTTTCTAATACTGATAACAAACCTTAGTGCTCTTTCCAAATCATCATTCTGTTGTTCTAGCTGCTGAATGCGCTTTGTCCACTCAATTTCCATTTGCTTATATTTCTTTAAGTCTGATGACAAGGTATCATTTATTCTTTTGATCTCTTCCATTTTATCCTAAAAATTATCGTAGATAACGATCAGACTAGAACTTTCATTTATAAACAATTATTGTTTTAATCGTTCTATTTTTACAAAATGTCTAATAAATTAAGTCATATTACAGCTTGTAAAATACGCTTTGAGAATGGTCATCTTTGAGATGAATCATTCATCAAACACAGTAATTTCATGACAATGCTTTTCACCCAACACATACACTTTCATATAATTTAAAATCAAACAAGAACAGGTCTTAATTTTATTTTTTCAATCTTAGTGCTACAATATTCTTTAATATTAACTCTACGATAATCTATGATATTAACTCTGATAATCTATAATATTAACTCTATATAAAATATTTATTTTTGCAATTGTATTAGATTTTATGTACCTTCAAAACATCAGTATCTTTCCCTAATTTATTGCATTGATGCCTGAGATCACGATTCTTTTTTTCTGCCTGATCCAGGGAATTTTCTAGTTCTTTTTCTAGCTGCCATGAACTTTCTCTGAACTCTTCGGATTCGCTGTTTAGCTGCCATACAAGCTGTCTTGAATCGTCGAGTCTAGAAATAATACAAATAGTGTCAACATAATATTTCGCATTTATGTTTACTTATAGTAATTTAAAATTTTAGAGAACAGGTGTTCTGGCAGTAAAGTATTGAATTTTATGTAGTTTAAATCAAGAATGTTTCTCAAGTTGACATACCCACGGAACCACAAAAAAAAACTGTTATTTTAAGCGTATTTATTTTTATACTCACTGTGACTGCAATTGCCGTACTGCTTGTTGGAGATATTCTATTTCCTCGCCTTTATCGCGGAAATGTCCCATATGTATGTCCATATTAAAATGTCCACCCACACGCGTTCACTGTAGCGGAACACGGTGCTCCCGTTTCATCCCACACACACTCACCACAGGCGACCTCGACTGAGGAACAACGTAACACTTCGTCACAAAAAAAATTCTGCTCACAGCGATATCGTTCTGCACCTCATCAACCACGCGGCAGTAATTAACCTGTAACTAACACACATTCGGAGATGACAGAAGTCGCCTGCTGAGGACAGCCTCCGCTCGGTTGACGTAAAGCCACAACGTGATCGCTCGCCAACGTCAACAACGACGCGGCCTGCCTTCATACACAATGACATCAAGAACGCAGGTCTACCATCAGCTGTTTCAATGTCAAGCGTGGACTCTTAGGAAGAAACTAAACACTGAGCGCGACTTTTGAATTTATAAATGTATAATTAAGATTGTCAAATGCCATATCTCATTTTTAATATTTTCGACACTATTTCTTGCTAATCTATTAACTAATGAGAGGGAAGACGCCACAGGGACATTCTTTCGATGAAAGAATGGAGACGTTAGGTCATCCTGTCTTCAAAACCCAATGAAAAAAAAAAAAAAAAAAAAAAAAAAAAAAAAAAAAAAAAAAAGTGAATGAAATGCGCAGAAAGATCGACAAAAAATGTGGCCCTTACGGTACACTTGTAGCGGGAAGGCTAGGGAGCAACAGTCTTCCCCGAAATAAAACGTAAATTTTATTTGCGGCAATTGTCGAGGCCTTCCCTGACTGACATTGCATGGTAACCGGTACCACCTGATGAAGAACGTGTCGGATGATGAACCCCAACACAGCTATGGGCAATCGACACTACATTTGCAGTGTTCACAGTGTGCATAGAGAAAGGCAATCTAAGCAGGAGATTGAAGGTATGTCACTATCAAATTTTGGCAATAAACTCAGGGTGCGAATAGGCTGATTTCTTCTGGGAGACGAATTGATGAGAAAAACATCTCACCCAACAGTTTAAATGATATATAAACATTCACTCGGCGATGTTTTCTTGTCCGATTTCCTTGAATTGTATATTTCGAAGTGTAGAAATCGTAAACGTACTTAATGTGGATTACTTTTATCTCTGATAAGGATAAATTAATTATTTTCTAGCAGGAGACATCAAACTTTAGAGGGATATGAATCACATCCTGAATAAACCCCATTTCTCTTATCATTTTCTATAATATAAGTCTTAGATTGTGAAATAATTATGAAATTCCTGCTGTGACATTGAGCATCTTTTTTTTAAAAGAACACAACTGTTTACATTATATTTTGATGATAAACACTTATTCATCATAAAATTTAACTTCTTAATAAAAAGCATTTTAAAATGTGTTTTGATTGGAAAGAGAAGCATGTGGCAATTCAGTTTATTGTAGTTGGAAAATCATTTTGAAGAGATGATTGAAATATTTATCATAGGTTCGTCTTTCAATAGAATTGGAACACTTAATATCATTTTTTCACACGTGTGTACTACTGTAGTAATGGGGCTACATTTATAGGTCCTCTTTTCCTTAAACCCTTTTTTAGTGAGATTTATCAATAAAAACATAAGGAGAACCCAATTGTAACATTGCCAGATGTCTTGGAGAGCCTTTTCCCCTAGTGTCTGAGAACAATTCTCCAGATTGTCACATTAAAAGAAGGGAAAATCAGAGATAAAGTGTATTTATGGATATAAAATGTGTTATTATGTAAGGCTACAGGGCTACTTTCAAAATGTTGGTGGGGGCCATCTATTTGCCTATTCATGTACAACAAAAATGTTTACTCAGTGGTTGTGTTATTAACAAAATAGTCTTTTAGATTCATACACCATTTTGCTTTGAGAGTGGCTTTGTGGCAGTAACAGAGAGTAAGACTGTTTTGGCTGGTCAAATAAATATAGGAGGCTAAGAGTCTGTTACTGCTGGGAGTTGCCACTAAGGGAATTTTTACAAATAAGATTATTCCCTTCTTACACATTCTTCCATTTATCCCAACACCTTTCGTTAAAAACAAAATCTCAATAATTACAAGATTTTCTAAATAGTGTCTCTTCATAAATTAAATTTTACAATTGAAAAAAAATTGAATTTATTTCCTTGCTGAAAGTTCCATTGTTTCAAAGTACAATCAAATTTAATTTTATCTTTAAGCTTCTAAATTTAAAAGGTGATTTACTTATTTGGTATGCCTATGCAATATAATGGAGAAGATAAATAATTTTGTGAAATGTTTTATATACTGCTCAAAGAATTTAAAATGTTGATTCAAATTCAAAAACAAAAAAAATATTTGCATTGTAAAGATTGGAACAAAAAAATATTTTATTTCAAAAACAAAATCATTAATTATGAATTTCTAGAGAGAAACTCACTTTGTAAGGTAAATGCATTTAACTTCTGTCGATAAAGCCGAGCTGTCAGTGAATACTAAGAGTATTAGGCTCTTTCTTCAATGTTCATTAGAATTTTAATTAATTTCCTCATATAAACTAATAAAAAATTATAACAGTAATAATAGTGTATTTAAGATATTGTCTATATGCATTATAATTGATTCACTAGAGAGGTACATATGAATAAAATATTATTCTATATTAATTTTCGTATGAAAAATACAACCAGAGCAGCTGTTCGTGTGAAGCAACAAATTTGTTAGCATAATAGAAATCTTTGTTCAGAATTTTGAAAAATAATGAAAGAAAATATTAATGGATGCATCAAACACCGCTTAACTCCTTTCTTCATTGAATTATTAACAAATCCATGACTAAATTTGATTAGTTTGATATATTCTGAAGTGTTAAAAAGTAAATTCCCCCTCCTCCCCCCGATTGTGAGAAATTTGACAAAATTAATCTCTCATCTTTTGTAATCTATCTAAACTAACTATATTGGAGTTCAATGTTTTATTTTTTTTATCATTGCTTTCTGGAAACTGCTAAGAGCAACACTGGTCTTTAACCCGGGAGTGTCCATATGTCAATTTGTCAAATAAAGCTGCAATGTTTTGTGAATACGAATGCGAATGTTATGAAGCTCTATTTACTTAAATATGTATTTTATTTAATTTGTACATGTCCCCCAATGCAATTGTTAACAAATTCTACAATGCAGAATCTTGTCTCAATACTTATGGTGAGAAAGGTAAAAAATAACAAAGTGCACAAAAATCATTAAACATCTTATTAAATACAATTCCCACAAATGATATTGTCATGTTCTCAACAAACATACATTTTCACAAAAATATTTAGAAAGTCTGTCTGTTTCTGTTCGCATATTGTTTCCTACAGACTTCTCCTGCACATAGTCTTTATTTGGGAAGAAATTGTGGCAGTTGATCGTAGATAAGACAAATGATTAGTTTTTCTGTTGGTACTTCTCAACGACACTACTGAAAACAACATATGATACAAACCACTTACGCCAGGAGCTCAGAATGTATTGGAACAGTTGCACACACTGTATCTGTCAGATATTGTGCAGTGCAATGATCAAGATTCAACATTATTCATGGTAAATGATTAAATGAAAGGATAAAAATAGAAGGTCAGGCGTTCTCAGAAAAGTACAATGAAGGAATACACCCATTTATTAGATGACTAATGTATCACAATAATTCAGAAACATAAAATGATGTGGCTTGGATCTCGCAGATATATTGCATGCACTCCTCAGCTAAAATGTTTTAGCATGCTAATGGAACTTGCTGAATACTTATTTTAAAAACATTACACCAAACTATATGAATACAGAGCTTTTTTAGCCTACCGTATAGTAGACCCCGGTTTATGCAACTCCTTGGCTTTATTACTGAAATGCTGATTTAGACGATTTCTCAATAAATGAAGTAATATTCAGTGCCTATTAAACTCAACTGGCAATTAGCCTGTTTTGGACTAAATTTGTATGAATGTTTATAAGGTTTGCATTGTTCCATTGCAAGGGTCTGTAAGTTACATATCAATTCATTTAATCTCAATTGTTTATTGTGTGTATTTGTATCTGTTGACTTAATTACTAAAAAGGTTTCATTCATCAGTCTTGGGAAAATACGCCCAATAACTTTGTTACTAAAGCAATTAACTTATGACATAAAATGATTTCAAAATTGAAATTATCTTAAATAACAAGAAAGTCCATAATAATGTTTTTTAATTTCAGAGAACTAGTATACATTATATTTAGCACTGAACGAAATAACATCAGAAAAATTCCTGCACAATATAAAATTAATTTTAAGCACACAAAGTACATATTTTGCAATTCTACTTGTACAAGTGACAAAGTCATTACAAACGCCTTCCTTTTTGGAGTTATGGACATTAAGCAGCATGAGGAGTATCGTAATATCATCTTCTTTTAAAACCATACTTTTTCCTTTCATAAAATAAGTCTGTTTTAGAACTTCCAAGATTAACAATTTTAGGACATCCATCTCTCTGGAACAAGACATATGGAGAACATGTAGTCATCAAATAAAGTACACACACATTTTGAGTTTATAAAATTAAGATCCACAACTTACATCTTTTTCTTGAATTGTACATTCCTTGCAGTAGTAAGCATCTGAAACTCCAGGTCCTCCACATATGACACAACGCCCTTGATACGATCCATAATTGCATTCATCACAAATCCTTACTAGAGTACAGGGTCGTACATATGAATCGCATATTACACATTTTCCATCGCATTTTTCGCACAGACGACCAATAGCTGCAAGACATTCACGAATAATAAAATTAATAATGGAAATGACAATGGACTAAACTTCTTGCCGTAACTATTTAACAATATTATTTGTAAAACAGAATTCTTTAAATATTTAATTCGTGTAGTGGACTATCAGCATTATATCACAAATCATAGTAAAGGCATAAGTCAACGAAGATGTGGATACATTACCTACACCCGGCTGCTTTCGACAAAATATCAAATCAGGATGATGTTTGGCCATATTTTTTTACGCAACGTATTCTCGGCGTTCCAATAAAATAAAAGAAATTGATTATATAGAACGCGCAGCAAACGACCAGTCCTTCAGAAAACCAAACACAGGCGTGCGATCGTGCAAACTGCGAAGAAACCACAACACCAAATAACACTGGATGCAATCATTTGTAATGGAAGCTCCTGTAACCTATATTAGTATTTATGTAACTATGCACGTGATATAAATAAGCTGTACACAATTTTATCCAATAGGAACTTTAAACGTCATAGGGAGTGACGTCACTAGCGACATAAAAGCTTCCAATTAGATAAAACTGCATCAGTGGTTTTACGTCAAGTGCACGACTAAATAAATCATACTAAATACTTTTGTGACTGTAAGCTCGTTGCACTTATAGTGAGGGCGCTGGTGGCGCTTTCACGTAAACGCGCGTTTATTTAAACCCCTCCACGAGTCTAGTAAAATCCGAAGTTAAAGTCCGAACGTAATATTATGATATATTCGAGCCAATAAAACTTTGGTGCGAATTTTATAAAGCTACGTATCAAGGCCCGTCTTTACAGTGGCATTGTCACCATGAACGGCTTTTGTAATGACGGGCCCATTTCGTTGTCATTCTGCGAAACGAACAAAAGTCCTATTGTTTTGTAGGTTTTATATTACGTAATAATTTATATTAGTTTAGCAATAACAGTTTAGTATTAGTTTTAGTAATAGTTTATATTACGATTACGGTCCAATGTATACGACGTAATGATGATTTGGGTTCATGGCCGACTTAATTCATACCCAACAGCTTTCTGAAAATTCAATTGATCTCGTATTAAAACTTCGATATGTTGAGACTGAAGTCCTTAGCAACGAATTTTATTGATTATATTTCACAAATGAAAAGTTGGGGAAGCAATAGAGTTAAGATGTTGAAAAATGTTTTACGTGGTAGTTTAAATGCGTTTCCATGAATAACTCGTTCATAACATAGTTCTCGCATCACACAATTTTGAAGGCGGTGACATTTTCAAACCAAGATACAATTGCGTTTTTAAGGTAAGATACTAATTTCTTTCTACAATATTGTCTCTTTGCCCCGGAATACTTACCCCCCACTCCTTTACCAACATTAGTTGAATTAAGAATAAGATGAGATTAGATTTATTTCATCCAACTGGTCACAGCATATTGCATGGGACAAGTCATTTTTATATTATACAGCACAAAAGTATTAGGGCATCATATGCTTACATAAATGATAACGAGCGTAGTTGTCAAACTCTGATATCCATAAATGTTAGACCCCGTGTTAATGAAACTATTTTGCATCGAAAAACGTGCTATATATTTGATATATGTCGTCAAAATACCTTCTCCCGTCTTCTCGCATCTGGCGAAACGAGAACTCAAGAAAACTTGCGCGGAAAATATTAACATATAATACTTTTAATTCAGTGTTAATTATATATTTATAGTAGGGGTAATATTAATATTACTAATGACTTGTTTTTCCACAATACAAAATATAAAATACTTTAGATATTGTGAATACGATGTCACTGCTCTTTGTTATTTCTGCAACCGTTATTCCAACCCGATATTATTACTCGGGCAACTTTTCTTGAACGATGGATTGACGATTTCGGGTGGAGTGGGGGGTATTAGTTACAAAGTCGGCCACTAGAGTATTTTAAGTAATGCTAACGTCTGTGAAATGAAAATCAAAACTGCATCTTGTGCTTAACTTTTTCGGGAGTTTTAGGTGACTCCCTTGAAGGACCTGGACCTGACTCAGCCATTTCTTTCGATATTGACAATAAATCTGAACAGGGGTTCTTCACTATGAAAGCATCTGGCTTTGACTAGCTTCTGTTTCGCGCGAACGAAGTTTTAATGCTTGGAAGGTTGTCATCAGTGCCCGCTGCGAGCTTTTGCCTTCAACTGTTTATTGCACAAGGGAGGGGGATCAAGGTCATCGTTCAAGAAATATTTAATATTTATTAATTATACGCTAATATTAATACTAATTTAAAACAATGAACAGAAAGATTTAATAGGAGCAAATGCTAAAACATTTTTTAACCAAATTCAACTTTATTTTAAAAGTTAAAACGTTCTCTGAGAGCCATGTACTTTTACCAAGAAAATAAGTGAAAGTTTAAACTTTAAACTTAAAGAATATAAGACAGAACTATAATTCAAACCCAAGCATAATGTTTTCCTTTATTGACTAAAGTGCGCACCCCCTTACGGGAAACTGTATCCCTCGACGCCTGTCCTGCAAGGAAACGCTCCTATGCACTCCCATTCCCCCATAACCGGAACTAATCCTTTTTGCTCAAGTTTATTTTAAGTTGCCCCAGTTGCTACGTAAAGAACTAAGAAATCTTGTCCGCCCCCTTTGTCATGCTGTACCGGAGCTAGGCTGTGAATATTGGAACTAGGCTGTATCATGCAAGAACATACATATTCGTTCATGGGATACGCTGATGATGTAGACGAGATAAAACATTTTTTTCTTTTTAATAGTAATAATTGGTCATTGGCGAGGTGACTAAATGTTTAGCTATTGACTCAGAAGTTTTATTGAAACTATCCATCTCTAAGAAATTTCAAACTCGCCAGAGGAAATACATAACGATGTTAACTTACCTTGATTCAAGCAGGATCTGGCAGAAGGGTTCTTCACACTCGTATTGTAATATGGATTCGAATTCGGCGATGGGATACACTTCAGCAAAATTTATGTTTACTATTACAGAGATACGGCTCTGTGAATGTACTTTCATGATTACAAAAGTAATCTCGAGGTTCGTTAAACGTTACGGTTTGTCAATTCCCTACCATTTATATAAAAAAGTTATCCACTTTTTCGTTACTAGCGCCCGCAAAAAAGTGGTGCTTTGATTTTGAAGTTCCAAAGTAATAAAACGTCTTGCATAACAGCACGTAATCAGTCGAATTAGTTTTTCTTCAAATAATTTTTTGCAGAAACATTACGTTAATCACAGAAAGCACTTATTAACATGATCACTCATTGACGATTTGAAACACAATAAACACGTATTTTATGAGAATCAGACATTTAAAAAAGAAATTCCTGGATGTTTTTCATTAAATCGAATATCATGTACTCTTGTAGAATTTGTTGTCTAGCGAGACTGAAATATGTGGCTACTTTTAAGGATTTAAAATAATTTCATTTTTCCTATCGTTATCAATATTTATATTAATATAATTATTGAACGCGTCGGCATTTCCTCGTGATTTTAAATGAACTGTCACGAGTTCTTGAACATAAGATGGTATTACAAGATGGCCATATATATGTCTTTGGGCCTTGGTGTATATCAGTACTTCAGTTTCAGTTGCAAAATACAAATAGCTCTGTTTCTTTCTCTCCGAAGCAAAACAAAGCGCAGTGTTGCTCTCGTCGCCAGTTCTATACTCCTCTGGATCGGATTACTATAGTTATAAAAATATAAATAAACAACAAGTGCATGAAATTCCTTTATTTTGGTATTTATATCATAAATGACATTACGCAGGTTACAATACATGTAAGTGACGTCGTACAGTTAAGTTCTCTTTGTAATTTTCTATTCATTTATATCTTTTAATTTATTTTGAAACAGCTTCAGCAAAGTTTAGGTATATCAATTTTAAAGCATTCTGTGAATGATGAAAATAAAGTCGCTCATATGGTTTTGACTGGTTTCCGTAGATATTTAAAGCCAGTGAAGCTTGCACATACGTTAAAGTTGCTTAAGTTTTTAAGCAAGGAATACTACACAAGTATTAATCAATTGAACATTTTAAATACAGTTTAATTTTTTGTCAGTTAATTTTGAGATGTAATCTAATGTTGCTTGAAGTACGTTGCTCGGATGAAACAAGTCAATTATTCCACAAATAATTTAATTTAGGAATATATGATTTTGTTGTCTAAAACTAAACTACTAACATTTTGCAAAAGTTTTCACTTCTTATTTCATTGATTAATTCCTCCTAAAAACATTAACTAATAAGAATACATCAGCTTTACCAGGCGTTACAACACTCACTCTGTTCATTAAATTGGTTATTTTAGAAACCACTAAATGAGATCAAGTATGTGACCCAATTCCAAAAATATCACTTAGTTTGACAGTTACAAAATCTGGATGTTGTAATAAATTTATACCAACTAATTTATTACATTAGATGTTGAGTGACATTCGTCTGAAAAATATAAGAATATAGGTATTCAGGAGGTTAAACTCACTTCCATATATGGATAATGTACATTATCTTTACAAGAAAGAGCTACTCTTTCTGGGTGATTTTGGTTAAAAAATGTATAAAACATCTATTTATCATATGGGATTTCATCTCTATATATAATATTCTAAGAGAAGTTGCAACTTCGTCGTGATTTTCTACTATTTATATGAAATTATCGTCACAAAACTCCGTAAGTGTGATACTAATGGATAAGAAATTACTCATCCGTCCTGTATAAAACAAATTTGAGACGAAAAACAAGCAGATTATGTCGTAGTTGTAAGATCAGCCGCTCGTGCAACCCGCACACATTACACTGGAACACAATTTTTATTTGGCTACAATTGGCTGATTGCCAGATGGTAACCATAAGCCCTTCTAAGGGACCACCCATAAATTGCGTAAACAATTTGAATACTCCCTCTCCCCTCTGTAATGCATCTGTAACGCGCGCTTGAACCCCCTCTTATAATTACGTAACGCTTGTGACCCACCCTATTTTCAGGAAGTAAAAATATATTTAACAGTAAAAAACATTTGTATTCATTTTATTGCTGCTCAATATGAACATTTATTATAATTAAAGTTAGAATTTGTTGGTAATGCTGATCGCTTGAAGAATGCTTAGGTGAGACATTCTGCCAAGCCGTGTATTGGCGGTGCTATGCCTTCGTCTATGATGCTATGCCTAAGTCGGGAAGAATGATATACGTGAGATGGACATTACGTCATTGTACGGTTGTTTCGTTTCTATTCATAAGGCGATATATTACATTGCCTGTAGTACTTAATGTTCAATTTATATGTGAAATTATCCTTGCAATTATACATTCAGTTGCAAACATTTTTACAAGCACTTCACATAATACAATTTATACAAGTACTTGAATAATTTGCTATTAATTAAAAAATTTAAAGAAATTATTAATTTTTAAATACAAACTTTTTAATACATTTTACATTTCTACATTAGTACATTTTTATTTCAATTTAATCATTATTTTGCAGATGCAAACTTTTTTGTCATATTACGATTTTTCTAGAGGGGCAGCTCCCCTTTCATTACTGGATGTCTCTAAACAACTGTATATTTTGTAGGTAGTACATACGGTCCCACCCGAGGGACTCCAAGAAGCTGCCTTCGGATCGTTGCCTTCGGACCGGTGCCCGACTTGCACGACACGGCGTTTGGTCTGATGTGGCGCATCCAATTATTTCATGGAGTGGAAGGGGGCCTCTTTCGAATGATTCATTGTACAATTCTTTATCTCGCGTTTCTACGTATTTGTGATTTTTTGACAGCAATTCAAAACATAAATGGTTATTGTCTGTATTCTTTAAGAAATTTCATAGAGTAAAGCCAACAATTACGCTCGACGTAACGCTGAAGAGGGGGAGGGGGTTGGAGACAGCGTTACGCTGCGGTCATAGGGGCAGGGGTCATTGTTTAGGTTTCGTGTTACGCGACGCTGATATTTATTTTTAAAATCTTTCAACGTTTGGTGAAATAATTCCTTTCAACCTTATACTAAAATATTTTCGTATTAACAAATTAAATTAAAAATATAATAAATTAAAGACATTATATTCTATAAAATGTTACAATAAATGAAAATATCTTCCATCAATGATTGTATTTTTTTAATTACGAAGAAAATATTCAAAACTTAGCTATTGTAGCGTATATTCTAGAATCCTATTAGTCGGCGCAGTAGACTCGTAGTACTCAGTAAATTTCATTTGAAGTATTTGTACTTATTATGCATGAAATTATAAAAACATCAGTGATGTAAATATTATCAGGAAGAGATTATATTAAAATACGACAGAATAATTTTTCAAAAATCAAATTTTTAATCAAAATGGCACTGATGTCATTTGATTTAGTACGTTGTGTTCTATCCGGACAAAAAGTTACAGAAACAAGATTTATCCACTTTTTCCTTACCAGAACCCAGCAATAAGATTTTTTCTGTCGACATTTGCCGGTGCACGACAACACCTTCTCTTTTTATGAAGTGAAGCGAAAAAATAAAAGTGTACTGTTTTTGGAAAATCATGTTTTAAATTTCGCTTGTAAATTGGCTCTCTTACATTAAAAATTGTACCCTCTGTGACTCATTGGTTAGCGTGCTCGCTTTTCACGGCGCAACTCCGCAACTAAAGAGCAATTGTGCCAAATAACGTTAAAAACCTAATAATTACGTGAATACTAATATTTTCAAATCATGTACTTGACCTTAATTAATGATCTAATTATGAGTAACATATTTCATCCCGAAAAAGTCTGCCTTCAATAACCTAACTGTAGGAGGGGCTCCAAAAAATTTCGAATATCTAGAGGGAACAGGAAACTAGGACATGTGCCATCTTTATTAGCGTACTTTGGCCTACTCGTGAGAAAAAAAAAAATATTGGCAAAATTTGGAGCAGTTTTTTTAGAAAACTTAGAAAAGATCCCAGAGGTTTAATAAAATTTAAAAGGTTAATTTCAAATTCGTAAGATTTTGAATCGAGCCAGGTAGAATTGGAGAATTTTTTAAATGGTTTAGGTGTTTGTGTTGTTCACATACGGACGGCCAGACACAGGACAGGCAGATGAACTGAAGGACATACGGACCAAAGGACATATGGACGAACGGACAGACAGACGAACTGGCGGATGGATGAACAGTCACATGGACGGAGGGACGGCCGAACAGGTAGACGAAGAAAAGAAGTTTGTTCACCTGTTCCTGTGAGGTGATATTCACCCTCATGAAGCCCACAGCAAAGATTTTTCTTTTTGTAATGATAATTAGATGAAATAATCCTCATTTTTCTATTTTACAATTCACACTGTATAACAGAAATAGCAAATTTTGTTCTGTTGCATACCAAAGCTGAAAAATTATGGAAAGCCAAGTTACTACGGGCAATACACATGTTACAGATGTTGGAGAGGAGCGAGAATCAACTCAGGATCTATCTGGAGCCTACAAGACATCAGATCTTCAGGCCAAGCTGATACGAATCATCTGTGAAGTGGGCTTCATGAGGGTGAAAATCACCTCACAGAAACAGGTGAGTCGGCCGATTTGTTGCATTGCCTATCTTAATTAAGTTCCTGTCTTGACGCAATGGTTGTATACCTTGGTTAAAAAAAATAGTGGGTACTATTTCTGGACATATTTATATTATATACTAGCGGACCCGATAGACTTCGTCCTGTCAAAAAGATTTGTAATGTGAAATTTTTTTGTCCCTACATATTTTATAGTCTGGGCAAAACATTCTCCTGAATAGAACCGTCACCCTGGTGATAGGGCGTTGTGAATAAGAAATATAATTAAATAAAACATTTATAAGCATTTAAAAGTAAGTAATCGCTTTATTGTTAATCATGTGAATCATTATTATTAACAAAAATTGACTCTACGTTTTAGTTAGAAAACGTTTGTATGGGAAAAAGAAAAGGGCTGTTATTAGGGTTTTTCCGGCAATTATTCGAATTTTTCTCGATGTAAAAACCATAAAAAACATAAAAAAAGAATTGGCCAAATTGGTCCAGGCGTTGTTGAGTTATGCGCTTACCAAAACATTTTGCGATTCATTTTTATATTATAGATGAATCTTTATACATGTCCATTGTTGCATATGCCAGGCAAACTAAATAATTTTTATCTACAACATGGAATGAATCAAATTGCATTCAGAAAGAAATTGTATGGGCTTTCAGAAGCGTTTTGGAGATTTTGCAAAAAATGGAAAGAGTGCTCATACACGTTTTACTCAGAGGAGAGGGAAAGGGTAAAGGGGTAATTTTGACAAAATACCATACAGAAGGTATTTTTCCCGTCTTGAAGTAAACATGTACAAAATTAAATTAAGGTCGGAATAAAGCTACGTGGACTCGAAATATTACTTTAAGATAATTATAGAAAAGTAGTCTTGTCCTATGTGAAAATTTTCGTTGAAAAATTTGAGGCAGTTGTTTCGTAATTGTAAATGCGTAATTTGAAGCTCTTTTTCATTGAAAATTTATAAGTTGTAGAAAAACTTAGTTGGAAGTCATTTGAAGCACTTCCACTCATAAATGCTATAATGAATACAAATGATAGGAAATGTGCGTTTTAATGGCTTAAGAAATATTAAAAAAATACATTTGTTTATTTTTTGTGAACACAAAAGAATACAATGACTTTTATCTTAAACAGTGGAACTATACGAACAAAAAAATGGAATAAAAAATTTGGTGCCGTTTTTGAGAAAATAGCGTTTGAGATTATCTCAAAATGCGGAAATTGATCTGATTTTCACAGAAGAGAAAAATCCAATCACACAAAAAAAAAAATCATATCGTGAGAACATAGTTATACATCCTCACGCTAAGGAGATAGGCAAAGTATGTAAAGAGAGGGAGCAAATCAGCATAAAAATAAACCTTATTTTGAACAGTCAACCATGAAAGCAAGTAAAAAAGAATAATCAGAGGTGGTGGTCTAAACGTAGGTACACCAATAAATTTGTAATCATCCTCTCCACTTTTTGATATTTGTACACCTATTTAATAATATACCACATGGTACAAAACAGCCCTTAATTCAATCTAAATGATTGAATCTACTAATCTATATATAGCTTTAGATTCCATATTGTATTCAACCGAACATTAGAACAAATTGATCAAGGATTTATATATTATGGCACTTATGTTATTGTAATGATGGATGAAATTCTAACTGTTTAAGCACTTGCTATAAATCATTGGTCGCCAATAATCTTAGTTATTGATGCGACTAACTAAAATTGAAGAGAAAAAAATTATAAAAGCAATCGGAAACTATCACAAAAAAATGATATTTTTATTATAGAAAGAACATTGACATGAATGTTTGGTAAATGAATTCATTTTAACATGGAATTAATAGTCTTGTGTTTTTATCAGTAGTGTTTCTGAGATTATTCAAGAATATTTTATGGTTCATTATCCAAAATTAATTTTTATTTTAGAGAGAACATTGTCATAATTGTTTGTGAAAAGATTTGATTCAAACATGGTATTAATAGCATGTTTGAATGGATTAATACCATGTTAGAGACATAATGGATTAATACTATCTTGGAGTCAAATCTTTTCACAAACATCTATGATAATATTCTGTCTAAAATAAAAATACCATAAAATTACATTTTTTTGAAGTAAAACATTTTCACAATTGTTAAAAATCATAAGAATACATGAATTATTATTATTATTTGCTCTTGTTAGTATTTAAAATAGATCACTCTCAATTCATGGGGCTTCCCACACTCCTCTCAGCAGGATTTAGATCGGTTGTTGGACTTCATTCTGTTGAGATGTTTAAGTCAATTAAATCTGACTTTTATTTTCTTAATTTAATTGTAAATTATACACTCTAAAATTCAGTTCAGGGAGTGAAAAGAATTTAAAAATTTATTTCGATACTATATAATAGGCTGATCATCATAGGAAAGACTCAATATTAACAGAAATAAGCAAAATAAACTATTGAATCCATTTTCAATGATTTCATACATAATCATGTATAAATTTGAAACGCATATCCTCTCCTTACTCCAGTTATTATATAAGAAACGGAATGTTTACTAAGTATCACATCAATTATAACTTAAAAAAAATAAAAAATTAAACAGTTATAATCCGAATTTCTTTAACTGTTTTCAGAGATTCATAATTTTATTAAAGATGTTTCCCTTCACAAAAAGCATCCCCCACCAAGATATTGAAACCTTTTCAATAGCCATCCATGCCAATCCTTATCCTACCACATGGTAGCACCATTTACTTTACCTTCAGTAATAGCTTTTCCCTCCGCAACGAGGGATACACGTCTGTTTCCTCACGTGTAAACTTAATTCCTTTTCTCACTACTTTCCCCTTTCCATTTTGAAACTGCTATACACACAAAGCAATAAAACAGACTTTTACACCTAACTCGCGTTTGATTAAAAAACGCGGCGTTGCCGCTGGTGAAAGTGCAATCAGAAAGATCATTAATCTAAAGATAGTCAGATATTTTAAAAAGAAAGATCTTAGTGAAACGAAAAACAATTATCAGACACTTTTATCTGACAGATACGTTATCTGTCGTACTAGTATTCGGAACTTTCTCACGCACCAGCCAAACAGGACGTACATCTGTTTTCCCCACATAGCAACGCTTTAAAAAATAAAAAACCCGGTAATATTTTGAAAACAGTTTGCTCAGTTATGACCAGAAAAAGCCATCCGCATAAAATCAGGCCCAGACATTACTGAAATTAACGCGGACAGACAAACCGCGGAAATTAGTAAAAACATTTCCTTCTTTTTATCTGAATTCCTACATAAGACTCCAACAGACAGTTCCAAAAACAGGGGCACAACATCAATAAAAAACTAAATAACCAAATATATAAACAAAATATACAATGAATACCGAATTCTTGCATTCAATGTCAAATTACCATCAACTAACAAAGGTACGTATAACCCCATTCTATTACAAAAATTCTACATTCAAAAAAATATTATTCCATGTTTCATCCAATATTCAACGTAGTAATCAAAACACAACAAAACAAATAATTAATACATATGTCCTAGTTTCATTTTTAAAGACCTCAATATTACAAATATTTTTAAGCAATTAAATAGTACACACAATTTACTAACAAAAATATTATTTAATTAACTACAACAAACAAATGTCATTAATACAAATAATAGATGTTCTCCAATCCAAATTTTTCACTTTGGCCACACTTATTAAAAACTTACTAAATTGTAAAAATACTAAAAGTTATATTGCTAATTACCTATATAATACTCCCCATTTATAAAATACTCCCTAATAACTAACCATTTCTGTAGTTTATTATTATTATTATTACATATTCTTACCCAATAAAATACAAATCACGAAATGCACCAAGGAAAAATTCTGTTATTTTAAAATTATTTACAGTTATACATTATACAGAATAAGTTCAGCTTAATGATCTAAGAAGCGGTGAATTCGGGCCTTCCTATTGGTTGCCATTTAAATGTAGCGGGACGAAGATAGTTTCTAATAAAACAACTCAGTCGCCGCCTGAAGACTCAGCGCGGCAGGTCATAAAACAAGCATAACATAAAACACAGTTCCTCATTTTGCCACCAGAGCGCGCCAATTACAATTGGAATACTACTACAACGCTCATAACGACTGCTATAGAAAACACTTCCTTACGTTCAGAATGTTGTGAATTTTTGGTAGTGAAGTAGTGTAGTTTTTGTAGCAAATCTGTTGTTCAAATGTGAATGTGGTGGTTGTTGCGTGGCGTTTGTAAAAGTTTACCTTTGTTTAGCGATTACCCATTACGCTATAACACCTGAAAAATCCCTTTGTCATCTCTCTTTCCTCCTCATTCGTTTGCTTGGTGCTTTCGTTACCGGGGGCGGCTAGCTTTATATCGTTAGCGTAAGATACGAAAATTTCCAAAACGTTTGGAAACGCTTTGAACAATGGGAGTTGAATTTCAGATAAAAAATAATGACTTAAAAGAATAAAAGTGATATGCCCCACATAATACAAGTTTAGAAAATGAATTAATCATTGTACATCTCCAATTAGTTCATGCACAGGAATGCAATTGTGATGGACACGGATCGGATCTATGTGTGAGATACCCTGCGTCGTTGCCGTCCTTCGAGATAACCCCTTTGAGGTGCACATAGATTTAGGGTATATCTGTCACTCCATACCAGAGCGATGATACTATTTGCGCGCAACTAATTTAAAAATTGTCCGATTGAACTTGAATGGTGTGATGCGTGGAGAGAAGTTTCAGTGGCTTTGTCCCTTGAGTGTTCAATGTGATAAGGTGGTAACCAAGACTAAATTACTAGCAATGTAATTGGGTGTGCAATAAGTGATATAGAAAAGTGTTCGAATTGTAAACAAAGCGTGAATTTAAAAATTGGTTGCAGAGCAAACATGAGAAACTGTTTTGAGAAGTAAAATTGAAGAATTTGATGCGGATAAATGGGAAATGGCAATGGAGAATTGCTTTTAGTT